GATTAGGTGAATAGGCAGTTATCGTCCACACGTACTTTTACATACCGGGCAACCATTATCAGTTGCGAGATCGACTTTAGATAACGTTACCGTGGAAAGCTATTTATGCGTTTTACGATTTCTTTCTTTTTAAACGCGCCTGTTTTCCGAAAATGAAATTGACGATTAGGCTTAGCTTTTGTTATCGCGTGATTTCGATACATTTACGCATTCCTGTCCGCATTAAAATTGTTATTCCTTCCTGGTTGATTAACGTTTTAGCTTCGGCGGAGCCCGCTCGGTCACTCTCTTTAGATCCATTAGTTATTAGCGCACTCCACTCGAATTTCATAAGTGCTGCCCGGAGTCGCGATGTGCGGCCAAATCTTTCGAAAGAAAGAATCGAATCGTCTATAGGACATAACATTAACATTGCATTGCGATATATCTCACTACGATATTTGGACGACGTAGCAATATTGCAGAATGCAATATTCAAATATATCGCATTGTAATATCTTAACAAAATTAATGCTATATTATATTGTGATATATCGCAATGTAATATCTCAGTATTATTTATCAGTATTTAATATTGCTCAGTATTATAATATTGCAAGTTGTAATAGTACTGCAATATTGTAATCTCACTGCAATATAACTGCAATATGATATACTGTGTGGGTATAAATGTTATTAATGTTATATCTATACATACCTATATACAAGATATCCTATTTTAAACAGTGCATTAAGATTTCTTGAAAACTATGATAGATAAATGTTTTAAACAAAAGCTATATGGTTTGGAGGGGAGATAAAAAGATACCATAGATTTGACCTTGAGTGGCGTCGCCAAGATCAGATCAAGGTTACATCAATTTTATTTATTGAAACATGCTATTTTTGATGGTAGAATCTGATAGCTGGTGTCAAGAGCTTTTAAAAATACTGTAATAAAATTATTTTTCATTACGTACTTTTCAAGTTTCAAGGTTTGAAAGTTACAGTATCGCTAGCATAGGCACTACGCAAGGTGTCCGACTGATAACTAAAACCTTTTGAATGTTGTTTAGGATCATATCCTGCATAAACATTTGTCAAGTTCAAGTCCACTGGAGATTATTCCTCTTATTTTCATTTTTGTAAAATTCATTTTTACGTTAAAATGAAAATAAAAAGTACAACGTATCACGGGCTGCGTAGAGGAGATGGGCAGAAGTCCGTGCCCACGGTTAGAACGTGAGGCACGCGGGCGCTTTACGCGGGGAGCATACTACACCTCTGTCAAATATTTTATATATGTATATTGCGACCGCACTCACGAGCGTGACGCAACTTCGTCGCGCGTTCGCAGCCAATATTCTCTTTTCTACAATCAGATTGCGTGTGACGCAAGGCCCGAGTGAGTATGCTACATTTTATTGAAATTATTCGAGATATTTTCCTCGCGACATTCCACCGAATTGCGAACGTCGACGGTACTCGTAACCGGTAGCTCAGGAAAAGCATAAGGGGCGGTTCATGGATAGAGGATAGAGGTCAAGGATAGAGGATCGTTTGGAGAAGCGAATGGGCGGTAACAATGAACCACACAATAATTAGTAATAATAAGGGTAACAAATATAGTTGATTAACCTCCGACTTTCGTTCGTACTCGTTGACAAGATCATAGCAACAGTATTCGATCGGAATGCGTTATTTTAGCCTCGCACAGGTCTCGATATGCTCTACGCGGTACGTATTAATTTCTCTTAACGGCACGAGTTCATGCCACGTAAGAATATTTTTCGCAAATCGCGCGAACAATAGCTTGATAGAGATAGGAGACGTTTACGGTATTATCACCAACACGCGATTTCGTTCTCGTCTGCGGAGCTTCGAACCGTTTTATAGAAAGTTGGAAAAAGATAGAGTACACGCAGATACCACGATACAAAGTTTTTATACAACGATGCAACTCGATACGCGACAAGACTTAAAGACAATGACTGTGACGTAGGCGGACGCGGAAAATAACTCTCCCGAAAATCTTATAACGTGCGCGCGCGAATCGTCGCGGGACACGCTTAAACGCAAGTACCGCGAAAAACCTAACGCACGACACTTCGGCGTGAGTCTCATATACTAAATCCAGCAACGATAATTGCATGTGCCTTCCGGACATGGAAATTGGCGACCTTACACTTATGTGGCGCTCGTCTCCCGTTGACCCTTCGTACGGCACCCGGCTCTCTCTCTCAGGCCCTTGATGTCCGCTCTTCACCGCTGCTTCTTATTCGCTCGCCACAGTACAAGTGCCAAGCGCTGATCCCTCCGGGAGCACACAGTGATCGCTATCTCCACAAGGGGGCCTTGTCGCGTCTAATTGGTCGCGCGGCCCTACGATCACGAATCGCGTGAGCTATGTCACTCACGTATCGTACGTCCTGGAGCGCAGAATTCGTCCTTGCGTCGCAGAGTTTTCTTCGGCCGCTTAGCAGACTCTCCCAGATATTCGTCTTGCGGAAGACTCGCATCTCGGTGTTGGCGTCCCCCTAGTCGGTGCCTCCGACCTTAGTGCCAGGGGAGATCTTCGCAGCTCCGTCATGGGGTCTCTCGCCAATACTTGGGCGTAGAGTGGCCATCCCCAGCTGCGGTCCTCGCGATCACTTCTTTATGCGCCTGTAATAAGGTGCGATAGAACATGTTTCGGATCAAAAGCAAAAATAGCGAAATGTGGAGCGATATCATCTGCGTGCTATCCGTCTGGTAGAATACTGAGCATCTCGGCAAATCCGTCCTCAATCGCTCCTTCTCCGACACTCAATCCTGGCCGCCTTCTCTCATCATCTGTTCGATGAAACGAAAATTTACAAGGTCGCAAGGGGGTCGCAAGGGGGTCGCCAATTATCCTGTAAAACTCGCAATACGATAACGCACAAAAGAAACAAACCGATACAGAAAATCTGCGAAACGCAAACAAGACAAAGGCGAAATATATGGAATAACGCTACGAGAATGCGCAGATATGCTTTCTAAAAAGTGGAAGGATCCAGAATGTCAGAGCTGCGCTATTCGGTCGGATCTTACGCTTGTAACGGACGGAAAACGTCATATCACAAGATAAACAGATAACATATATAAGTAAATAGATAATGTAAATATGTGGATAGATAGATAATGCACATTGGTAGATGGATGACGTGGACAGATAAATAAAGTATACGAGTATAGGCAAGTGGATAACTTATATATGAATAGATATATGTAGATAAATAGATAACGCCAATAGATAAATAATGACGTGACGTTTTCTATTCATCACAAGGGTCGTAAATACGATCCGATCAAGAAAGCGTCCTTCTGATTTAAGTAGGCGGACGTGTCTGGACATTTTTTCTAAAATTTTGTGTGTGTATTGTTGTATTTGCGTGTATTAGATTTTCGATATATAAGTTTTGACGCAGTATAGGACAGATTTAAAGGCAATCATAAGCACAGTCAAATGTTGTAGAAAATCATTAAACAAAATGAACTTCTCATTCTGGCAAACAACGGTGTCATTGATTTCCAAAAATCAATTAACAGAAAAGAACCCAAACTAGAAAATTCGAGGCCACATTCATAATGTGTCAGTAAGAACATTATATGAAACATTTAATTACAAACACACAAGCATTATTTGCTGAAGATGGCTCAAAGTGAGCCGAAATGTATCAGATCAATGTAAGAATTTGAAGAATAAATTTCAAGAATACGCAAAGAAATCCGCTGAGTTACTCTCACTTGCTCGTTCAATTTTAAAATATTTATATTTTAGATTTTCGCGCTATTATTATTGCAAGTTTTACAGAAGTATTGGCGACTTCTTGTGACTTATTGTAATATTGCGTCGTCTCAACGAGTCAAGAATGAAGATCATCAAGAATTAGAGAGAAGATGGAAAAAGAACTACCGGAAGCATCAAACGATCTACAAGGATGGTGGCGCACAGGTGATATCGCTTCATATTTTAATAGTTTTTATTTTGTTTTG